CAAAAACTAGTTGGTTAAGTTTAGACAAAGATCGTAGTTTTGGGTTAAAATAACTACGTAACATAATGCAAGTAATGGAATGAAAGTAACGTCAATAATTTAACTTAAAATTAGCCAGGCGGACACATCCAGAAATGATGAGTACCTCAAAAAACTGTTACAAAATAGGAGCGCTATTACATTTTACTCAGTGTACATTGTAACTCACTGATCATTTACCAGACTTATATTTTTTATTGGACAAAAAATTACTGGTATCCTACCCTAGGTTACATTTGACATTTAAATACATTCATAATAATAATTATCACAGATCTAGGCTGAACCCAAATGCAGACTTCCAACAAGCAAGTAAGGTTTAAAGTTTTTATTATTAAACTGGCAGGTACGGTGCTGAGGTGTGGGGATATCTTAGGGTGATGAAGCAGAGGAAATTCAAAATGGCAAGCTAGCTGGCAGGCTTAGTTCCATAGAAAGACAGGCAGGCAGCGATTCCTTGGAGACAAAGAAAAACTGATGTCAGGCAAAAAAAACAGCAAGCGATTACAACTAGTAACTGGTAATAAATTGTAAGATATACAGATAACTGAGCTGGAAGTGAGGTACAAGGGCTGTCCCTGACTAAAGATTTATCTAGTTGACTAGTAGTCATTGGATAAAAGCAATAGTTGATTGATCAAATGTTTAAGATATTAATTTAATGATCTAAATATATATATTTGAAAAGCTGCCTGTTGAATGCTAACAGACCAGTGGTACTGATTTGTTTTTGAATGCCTGTCAGAACAACAGGGGACTGAAATTTTAGTTCATTTATTTCGAGACAACAGTGTAACTCAGTCCACAGTCTGGTTGTTCAACACGGAATAACTTCCAACCTAATTAAAACAAATCCTGGCAGACTTATCGATACAATGGATGATGGATAACGTTAACAGTTACTTACAACTTAACTCACTACAAACACGCCATTCCTCCTCTCCCTCCTCCACCTGAACACGCCGTGTCTAGTCCTCCGATGGTGTTGGGGTCTATGTTCAGTCCCGGCGCCACTGAGCGGCTGCTGAGCTCGACTCTGTGGCCCCACTCTGACTAAGCTTTTCATTCTGCCTTGCTTGTGTACCAAAGCTTGTGGTGTAAATAAAACCTCCCAGATACTTCAAGTCAGAGTGCAGTCAGCTAATAGGACCCCTATACTAGTTGTAGCAGCTCGTACAGTTAGTACATGCAACAGTGTTGTGTTACAAGAGTAAAGGTCCGGGATGTAATCGTCCAGGTGATAAGGCACAGCTCCGGTTTGATGCTCTTTTTGTTTTTCTGCAAATATCTGACCAAAGAAAAAGGTCAAAGTCAACTAAGACTCCTCTTGTCAATTAACAAAATAATCTAATATTAGGGGACAGCCTTACAAGGTACATGTTGCTATACTGGCCAAAAGATTTCAACAAGCCAGAACTGACTTTGTGTGCCAGGTCTTGTGGCACTGAGGTATGCTGGCTTGGACCTACAGAACCAGTGTCATTTTCCTCAGACTTGAAGAGTAGAGGTTGGTAACCACAGAAACACTAGAAGGTTGACATACCTGTAGCAGAGGTTGGTGGAGAGTTGTGGGCATAATTCACTCTGGGGAATTAAGGTGGCCCAGGTGAAAGAGTTGGGATTGAGATTGAGCTTGGTGAACACAGTTTCTACCTGAAGAGTATTGAAGGCAG